GTTGTTGGCAAGATACACATTAGCCTACCAGAAGTATGTCACAAATGATAATAATGATAATAATAATACTAATATAAATAATACGAATAATAATAATAATAATAATAATAATAATAATAATAATAATAATAATAATAATAATAATAATAATAATAATACAAATAATACTAATAATAATGATAACAACAATAATAATAGTGATAACAACAACAATAATAAAATAATAATAATAATGATAATAATAATAATAATAATAATAATAATAATAATACAAATAATACTAATAATAATGATAACAACAATAATAATAGTGATAACAACAACAATAATAAAATAATAATAATAATGATAATAATAATAATAATAATAATAATAATAATAATAATAATAATAATAATAATAATAATAACAATTATTATTATTATTATTATTATTATTATTATTATTATTATTATTATTATTATTTATATAGATAAACAGATGAAAACAAACTGTAAATAAAAACAAATTCAAAGATGTAACCGTTTTAAAAAAGAGGGGAGATCTGCAGAGTGATGGTCAGGGTAAGTATGCTCATTTGAACAGGTGGGTTTTGTGTTGTAATTAAAAACAATAATTAAGGTCAACAACCACCTCACCCTCCAATATACTGCCGATGAAAATGGGAAATTTTCTCATCCTGTAAGGTTCTTTTCATGTTGATTTTGACGCCCCCTGTTGACAAAGCAGTCTTCGCTTAGCTTGTTCTTTGCGTAGAGTCTCCAAAACAAAACAAAAAATCATTGGTTTTGGAAAGGGAGAATGATTTGAGTCTTTCCTCGGGGGAACATGGCATTTACCTGCTATTGAGTGACCTTTTCAGTCCTGTGGGTCCAGTCATCGCACTTGTGTAAGGAGTGGACTGGCTCTCTTAAAGCATGTCTCTGTTACGGATGGATGCTGCAAATGTGAGGGAGCAGCTTGTGTCTCTTTTTGCTCTTTTACAGCTATGTCATGTGATTGGTAGGATTTTTTTTATCATTATATGGAGAACTTGATAATGAAATTAAAATACCCAGTACAGAGTACAAAGACCAACAGTAACCGGCACTGAACAGATGTAATTCTGCTGTTTAAATGGGCATTTTAATACAGGGGGATTTAGACCCAGACTCAAGTGGACCTCTGGGTAGCTGCACTCCTTTTACAACACAGAAGGATCCCATGTGTTTTATCAGTGTGAGTGATTAAAATCATCTCATTTAGTTTTAAGAAAATTTAGGTATGGAGAGACATGTGCAAAACAAACACAGGCAAAGAGTGAGAAGTAGCTCAAGACATTTACAGACTCTTCAGGACAACCTTGGAACCACTTCAGAAAGTACTTGAAGACTGTGAATAGACAGGTAAATGAAAGAGAAAACCCACTAAAAAGTAACGCTGTACAAAAAACTGGACAAATAACAATAAATAAATATGCCCTTGGGACCCTGTGCTTTTTAGATTTCAATTTAGCTGAGATCACTTTAAGTGCACGAGTCTTGTTTCCTAAAAACTTTCTCTTCGATTAAAAAAACAAAACAAAAAGAAAAACGAATCAGGTGGAAAGCTTCCTGATTTTAGTCAAACGGTAATGTCAGCCAAGGGTGCTGCAGCACCGGTACAGTACATTTCATTACTACTTTGCTCAAGCAGGCTGTATTAGTTTGCTTTGCTCCTCTCGTCCAATTCTTATAATTCATGTTTTAAGGGTCATCTCTGTTTCCATTGCCTTTCACTTTCAAGTACAATGATCACATGTGCATCCCCATACTATTAAGTATGCAGATAACCAGGGTAGTTCCTACCTTCTTTTGGCCAAGGCTGTGGTGTCCATAATTTTCAAAACGGATGTATTTGGATTTGTCAATTTTGTAGTTTTTACCTGTATTTTGAGACCTCTGATAACATTATCTGTAGATTAGGAAATAATTAAAATCTTTACAATTTTACTCTCAGGATCATTGTCATGTAAGTGGTGAACTGAAATATTTCCCCATCTGGTCCAAATGCAGTTTGACCTGATTAGATGGGAGACCTTCTTCAAGGTATTTTTTTAAGCATTGCACCACTTTTTTAGTATTTCACCGTTCCTGTCCCACTATGGTCCCAACAGTTTTGAAATGTGTCACTGGCCCAAAATAAAAGAATAATAATCATTTTAAAAAATATATTTTCAGTTTCAAGATTTGACTTAGTGTCTCCGCACACTTTTCAGTTTAATATAGACTTTAAATGATTTGCAAACCATCAAAGTAGTAGAACAGTTTTTTTTATCAATCGTGATAGAATATAGAAATATGATCACCAAACCAAAGTATGATCTAGACCCAATCTTTTGAGAAGCATCTTGACATAACACTTGTTGCGGGTTGGTGTTATGTAAATGAGAAATGAGTTAGTGATTGAAATTTACTTTGTCAACATTTTACAGTGTCCCAACTCGTATGGCTGGGATTATAGAACAAAAATATGAGACGAAGGTCCAGAGGTTTATAAATTCCCTTGTACTCTACACTCTGACAAAGTAATTTTTGAGCAAATGCCAAAAAGAGTTCATGACAGCTTGAGATTAATGCGAAAAGGAGACTTAGGTAGCAAGATTGGAAAAGTTTCATGACAGAGGATGGTTTTCAAAGAGTGAGAACCAAGGAAATTCATCATAACCTTGATTTTAAAGTGGGTACATGTGTTCATGCTGTGCGGAACTGGTCTATGGTACTACATTCCTCAGGGGTGGTGGCCTTCTGAAAAGCCCCCAGCTCGCTATAACAGCTATTTTGCAGAGACCCAAGACTTATGTTTGTTAGACGACAAATCTCTTGTTCCTCTAGGACCTTATCAAAGCAGAGTTCAGTTTGATGATTACAGGATGTGTTGTAGCAGCCAAGCTAATTATGAACCTGAGGAACCAGCATGAGTCAAGAGGGGCTTAAACTAATTACAGAGCCTGCTACCTTTAAATACAATCACCTGGGGAAATGAATTGGCAAAATATGAAAAGCTCAGGAAAGTAACATTGTAAAGAGAGATCATAGAGCTGATGGGCTGGATTTAGGTATCCGTGGGCGTAAGCACACAATATAAACGTGTGTATGCACAGATGCATGGGTAGATGAATAAATTAGGATGCCAGGAAATATTTTGGGTAGCCTTTGAGTTTAAGAGACCACTTCTTTAAAGTCTGGTCTTCTTTTATCACCATAATCTTATGTTCTTTTTGATTAAGTTTTGTCATTCAAGTTAATCAGATGTCAATACTACAATGTTTCAATACTCAAACGGAGTGAGTAGTAATCCAAAATAATAATAATAATAATCTCTTTACAGCTTGTTATTTCGACTGTGAACAGTCTAATGAGCCAACCTGTTACTGGACTTGTTACTGAGGAGCTCCTCAATCCCCATCCTTCTACAAGACCTTTCAAAATAAAAGTCATCCAACATCTCTTCCAACATGTGTATGGAAGTAATTTGTAAAATGTCATCTCTCTGTGGGTGTTGCAGACAGGGAAAAAATGAGTTTTACTCTCTCATCCAGGAAGCTTCTTTTTGCACGGCCAGCCCTCATGTCTCTGACATTTTAGAAGATAAACTTCGTCTGTTTTCTTTACAAGGAGAAACTGTCTCATCATTATTTTTGGCAAAAATCTGTTTTTGCAGAATTCAACAGCCGCTGAAACACCACAGGACATCACACTGAAGTAAGACTTTTTCTTTGATATAAGGTGTCTGGTAGCAAGGCTTCTCGTCCTCTGAGTTTAAAGGATAAAGGTTTGGAGATCACAGTAATAGGTGAAGATTTATTTGTCTGTAAAGGTTGTCTGAGCACTCAAATACAAAACCACTTAGGATAAACAGAGATCATAAATTTAGTTTACAGAAACAGAGACGTCCTGACATTGTTTGAAATTTAAGTGAGACTGTAATCTTAAAATTGTTTCTGTGGGAATAATCCCACCCCCAAATGCAGAAACGTGTCCATGCCTTTTCTGGTCCAAGCTGGATTACTGCAATGCCCTTCACATACCAGTAAGAGGCCCCAAAAGCTTCAACATGTGCAAAACAGGGCTGCTGAAGAGAGTATCACACCCATGCTTCACTCTGTACATTGGCTTCCCATCCATCAAAGACATTACAAAACCTCCTTACTCACTAATCTGTGCATCCATGGATACAACCTCGCCTACCTTAAAGTACTGTTAACCCCAGGCTCTGCACAATGGGGTACCATTGCGCCACTGCTCCACATCTGGTAGGGTCTCACTGAACACTTGAGGGCCCTACAGACCACTTAATCCTTTTAAGTATCCCTTTCCAAGTATCTATATGCTGTATCTCAAGAACCGTAAAAGGTATAGACACGTACTTGGAACCGAAACATTCACAATACCCAATTTTATATTCAACCTTGATATATTTACGGGACTTAAAATGAAAGCATGTTGAGTTATAAAGGAAAAAACACATTTTTAGGTGGACATCCTGGATTTTGAGGCAGCCATCTTGGATTTTTAGTTGGATGGCATACTTTTCTTCGAAAGTACATCCTAGACATCATTTGTGCCAAAATTGGCACTTGTCTCACGAATAGAACAATTGTTTCACTAATCTGCTCTACTATTTAAAAAACAGCTTCAAATATTTCTCTTTAAAGCTCTTTGCCAGATGGGATATGTCCTGACACTTTGACATCTGATGGTTTCTTTTATTTTTAAGATTGATAACCTCTGTTGTCGTTTTTAACTGGATTATACGCCCCTGTATGCCTACAAAAACTGTTATTGTTATAATCATTAAGCATGCATTACACTTTTTCAATATGGATACAAAGACAGCGGTGTCATATTATTAGCTGGTATGTTTGGATATTTTTAGGACACCTTTAAATTTCATTCATCATAAGAATCAGAGGGTAACTTTCAGTCCAGCAGGGGGCAGTAACCTAGCAGCAAATCACCAGCCTCTGCACGCCAGAAAGTAGAAGAAGTGATTTTCTTCTTCTTTTGCGTACAGCTGTTTCCGTTAATCCACGTCCACTCAACCTCTGCACGCGTTGACAGACTAAAATAAAAACATATTTGTAAAAGATGTCTGAAGATCTGCGGTCAGAGCTGGAGAAATTCCTCGAGAGTTTAAATATCCAGACGAGCTGTGTGGAGCACCCGCCGGTAAAGCACAAACACAAACAGCGAACACAGTCCACACAGATTTTATGTATACATAAAAACGGTATTTTACAGCAGTTGTTTCAATTTTACAATGAAACTTTACTTCATAATGTAGGCTCGGGTTTTGTGGATGAGAAAGGCTAAAATGCTTGATAACTCGGTGCTGTACTGTATGTACTGCACTGTATGGGAACAAAACACCCATCATAAAACAAAACATTTAAGAATTTTTGGCTTAAAGTAAATGAGTTAAACATCCTAAAATACACGGAGGTACATTACATGAATTAAAATGTTTCAGAGTTTAATTCGGCCTCATTAGATGCCAGATTGGTATATCCTTCAATACATTATTATCGCCCATATCAAGTGAGTGAAGAAGAGTGAAGGTATCAAAAAGTTATCTACTTAAAAAACAAGAGTTGCAGTACCTTTGATTTGTATGCCGAATTTACAATCAGATCAGAAAAGATGGAAATGTGTGACGATATGTTTCTAGAGTCACGATCTGCGCACAAAATCCACGTATTCTTAAAAGTGACCAGTTTTTAAATGATGTTTGGATTAAGATGACTGAGCCAAAGATCTTAAAGATACACATTTCTAGGCTTTAATTATATTGTCTGCATGTGTGAATTTAATTACTACAATGGATGGGAGTGTGTTTGTGAGGTGCTGATTTTGGAAAATTGTTTTAAGCTTCAAGTGAACATATGGTTTTTGCAACCCGTCTGACGCGTTTCAGCTGTAGTAGCCTGCTCTGACCTGCAGGGGGCGTCAAAACACAGGTTAGAAATATCATATCTGTTCACATGATTCAGGGTCATTCAGCTCTACATCTGCTGAAAAGCATTATACTCATACATAAAGTGACGTTTTACTCATCTGACAAAAGTTTTTGAATATGCACATTTTCAGGTTTTTGTTTGCGTCTTTAAACACAGACCTGCGTATAGTAATGCCTACTATGCAGTGCGTGTTATTATGAAGTGCCTGTCTTTAAATGCAATCAAACTGGTCTGGTTTCCCCCACTCTGCAGGTGTTTACGGTGGAAGAAATGATGCCCCACCTGCAGGAAGTGAGTGGAGCTGTTACAAAAAATCTCTTCCTGAAGGACAAGAAGAAGAAAGGTCTGTGGCTGGTGTCCGCTCGTCACGACCGCCAGGTCAGTTCTCACTTTAAGGGGATATTCCTGTGTAAAATTAATTTAGGGTCAAACACACTGTAACACCAAGTTAGACACCAAGTTAGACACCCCCTCAAGAGATAAATGTTGCTGACAGCTTGCGGTCAGCAACATTCATCTCTCAACTGAGTGTCTAACTTGGTGTTACGGTGTGTTTGACCCTAAATTAATTTTACGCTGAAATGTCCCTTTAACAACTGCCCCAACAGAAAGGTTCTACCCATCTTATCTCAGAATAATCACCTTTTCCCATAATCCTCTCTGTTCCTCTACAGGTGAACCTGAATGACCTTGCCAAGAAGTTGGGTGTTGGAAGTGGCAATCTACGCTTTGCAGATGAGGCAGCCATGTTGGAAAAACTCAAGGTAAGACCATCAGCATTTTGGTACACACTATTTTCCCAGTGGGAAGGTGATCTTTACTTCTGAGCTTCTTACTGACAGCTGTTCTTTAAATATTCACATATTGGGACATCAATATCATACTGATTCAGGGTCTAAAGTGTTGAATTTCAGTACTATGGTAAAGAAGAAAAGGCCAGCATCCACCAGGGGACATCCTGCTCTTCACTTAGCTTACTGACAGCTTTCCATGATAATGTTAGCTCCAGAGGATCTAGTTTTTGGTGGATAGTTATTGATTTTTTCAGCAGATGTTGTTTGGTTGATTTCTGTGTTTGTGCTTTTTCACACATGTAAGTAACAAAAACAGGTTACTATTTTCTGGCTGATCATACTCAGGTCTTTTTTTTTCTGTCTCCCTTCAGGTGGGTCAGGGCTGTGCCACGGCTCTTGCTCTGCTATTCGACAAGGACCACAGTGTGAAGTTCGTCCTGGATCGGGACCTTGTAGAGGGGGGACATCAGATGGTCTACTTTCACCCGATGACCAATGCTGCCACCATGGGGCTCCGGCCTGATGACCTGCTGCGCTTCCTTAAAGAAACAGGACATGACCCAGTCCTGGAGAGCTTTGAGTAGGAAAGGACAGAAACCTGGACCAGACTAGAGACTGGAAACAGGAGCAGCCAGCAGGGGCTGAAGCAAGAAGTGGAAGCAAAGCTGTAGAACCTTTACTACAGCAGGGAAGAAGTTACACGCGCCCAATGCTGAGGTGCTCTAGTTGTCTTAAAAAAGGGAACATTTTACTGTACTGCTTTATTTGGATTATTTATGCTCCAATCAAAGAGCAAAATATTCAAAATTTACACACATCCACCTCAAAGATTGTCTCTGAGCAACCTTGTAAGATCAAGTCTCATTAAAGGACCAGACTGTTGGTTTTATCTACTCATTTTTACCACAGTGAAAAGGGACTCTTGACACATGACATCCAACTGATCAGTTGTCAAATCTCCACGTTTCTGGGTTGATTTTTCATCCAGGCTGAGACGGTTTAAATGTAAGACATCAATATGAAAGGTTATGGAGGATCAGTTTACAGAGTTATGGGCAGAAATCAGATGAAATCTTTGTACCAGGATAATCATCAAACATCATTACATGTTGCTTCCCAAAGAATAGATGAATAATCACCATAAATGGCTTGATTTGGTCCATCACAGCAGCTTTTACAAATCTAATGAGACTGACAGAGAGTCACAGAGGTCTACATCTGAACTACATTAACTACATCTTAATTATTCAGGTTGCATCGTAGACAAAGTAAGCCACTCAATTTGAAGATGATCCCAATACTTTGTTTCACCCACTTGTACTGTAGTTTTATAGAAGCTACATGAGAGGGCAGGATACTAGAAACATGTTATTGAACCAGCTCCAGGAAAATACCAACTACTCCAACCCCCATAAAAAAAACAGGACTGAGAATAACCTCACAGTGTAAATAGCACACATATTAATAAGCTTTGTATCAGTGGCATTGATACTAAACTGTATCCTATGCTTTTTAATATATTTTATCACAATAGGAGCAGGAATTCATGAAGTTGCCTGTTAGTGTACAATTTTATAATTCAATACTTACCAGCAGACACATGCCTGTTCTGGACAATAAGAAGCTGATGGAGAAAAAGTGTGTTTGGTGTCACACTTTGATATGACAATAAAACAGGGTTGTTTCCGAGTCCTCGACTGACACTGATCCCTTCACTCTGGGTTCAGGCTTAAAACATTACAATATCAAAATCATCAGTCTTGTTAGTGATGGTCTTGTTCGCTTCTGAATATCATAAAAATAAACTAATCAATTAACACCTGTAGGCTAACAGTTAGTATTTTAATGTGTCATCTATGGAGAGTCTTAAAAACAAAAAAAGGAACCCGATACAGCAGCTTTTAAACACTTTATCGCCTTTAATGGTTTCTGACTTAAAAAAATAACTATGTAAATGGTCTCTCCTCTTACAAAAGGTCTTGTTTGCTTTTTAATGGCATCAGCATTGATTCAGTCTGTTTCAAAACCAGCTAAAAACTCAAAAACAAGCATAGCTATTTTTCTTGACTAATTCCTCTCTTCTCATTTCACAGATGTGCCGACCAGCAGCTCAGCTGTAAAACTTTATAAGCTGTCAAACTCATAGCTGTTGTGGTTTTACCTCAGGCAACATAAGATTTTGACGTAAGATGGGAAAGGCATGTGAGGTGAACTCTTGGATGTGTTTTGGATTCTGTTCAATATGGAACAAGACTGAGCTGATGAAGCATCACCAGCTAAAATTGACAAACTTAGACATCTCTTATTCTGACAGTGCTGTATGTCAATATGAACTTTGAATAAGTAACTCAACAAACATGCCGTTAGTGTAAATGTAGCTGCTACTTGGAATTGAGAGATACTTCTCGAACTTCCAGGCATATACGTTTGTAGCAATAACTTCAGAAATTAAACTTAAAACCAACTAGATGTAAAATAAAATTGAGAACCTGATAGTGTTATAAAGAGGGTGTTGGATTTTGCACTATTTCCTGCTAAAAGTGAACCCCAGTATGTACAGGGTGAGGTTCAGGGAGCACCACCTTAGTACTTTTTCCACTTCCAAACTGGCAAAGGCAGAGGTGTTTTGGAAAGATTTAAAAAAGGCAGAGGGAATGTGCAATGTAAGCAGATCTGGATGTAATTAGATGCCTAGGGGGAAATGTGCAACTAGCAAAGATCAAACCACAGAGCCATCTTTGTTACATGCTGTAAAATCAGTCCTTCACGCTCACCTGCAACTCAGTGTGCACAGCAGTCCAGCACCAGGTGACTTAGGACAGGAAAGCGATCATACATTGCATGCAGCCTGGAGACAGAGATATGTGCAGTGTCATTCCAGGGAAAATTTCTTCTGAAATTGAAATCAGGGCTACACCCTGGGTGCTTTTCCAATGAGGCTGTGAATCAGTGTGAGTGTTTTTTTTAAGCTTTTAAAATCATGGATGTAGTCTCTGCGGTGTCACTTCCTGGTTTCTGGATAGGTGTTTTGCAAAGCCAAAAGACAGCAGCCACTTAACTGGAAACACTGAGTCAGAGCCTTACATCTTATACATCTAGAGACAGGCATGGCAGAATTGAAGAGGGCTTTCAGACTGTTAAATGACAACACAACCATGCTGACTTACATGGATTTTTAACAGAAGTAGAGGATTGATTGCTATTGAAGTTGAAATATTTCCAAACACAATACAGGTACACAGAAGTTAGAAATTTGATGAACTGGGCCAACCTCTGCCTGCAGGTCTGGCTATGTTCAGAGTACCTGATAAGCCTGTTGGAAAAAAACAATGCTCTGAAAATAAACCCGCTGTGGAGTGACTGCCAGCTGTACTACTTTTTAGATCCTCTTGAAATCATGATGATATTAACAGTTAGTCTGTTAATCATAATATAAATCAAAATGTGTGATGTATATACTACTTATACTTACATTTAGGGTATTTTATGAATTAACACAGTATACATCTTAGTTGTTGCTCTTTAAAGTTTGTTTCTCTATGACTAACTGAAATTATTTAGACAATAGACTGCTTTAATTAAAAGTGCTGCAGATCAAAGATTCACCTACTGTGAATGTCAGTCTGGCAGTGACCATCTTATCATCAAGGATGTTTTTGTCCATGATGGGCTGGAGTTAGATAAGTCCCAGATGGACTTTTGGGCTTGCTGCTCTGCTTGTGATGCCTGTTGGACCTGAAAGGGAAACAGGAGACAGTAAGACTTCTATAAGTTTGAACTATAGCCAAGCAGAGTTACTCCTACATTTGTCATAATCTGATAATTGAATCTGTTGAAATGCTTGATGCTATGGGACTGAATTTGGGTCCAGAAAATCTGAAACCTGTAAAAAGGATGTATTGATAATGTATTTTTCAAACCATGAGATCACAATCAAATTAAGAATAGTAACTATTGGGGTTTCCGTCCAATAACCAGAGGGTTGGTGGTTCGATTCCCCCCTATCCCTAGTCTGTCCATTGTGTCCTTCGACAAGACACTTAACCCACCTTGCTCCCAGTGTGTGTCCTCCACTAGTGTATGATTGTGTGTGTTGTGTGGTGGTGGTTGGAGAGGCCGTAGGCGCAAACTGGCAGCCACGTTTCCGTCAGTCTGCCCCAGGGCAACTGTGACTACTATGGTAGTTTACCACCACCAAGGTGTGACTGTGTGAGCAAATGAATGATATATCCAATGAAAAGCACTTTGAGGGTCTCTGATGAAGCACTATATGAAATCTGATGCATGATCATTTTATTATTATTAACTAATCAGAGATTGTCATCTTGAGGTTTGTAGAACATTTGATGATTGTCTGTCATATCTGAGAATTTTTGATTTTCTCTTAAAGCAAAAACAGAGAGAAGCCCTCTGTGCTGCTTGGCATACACTGTGAACTGAAGCTGACTCTGACCCAATTTGTGGTCACATGAGGGCTTTTGAAGTTGGGCTGAATTCAAGCTTGATGTCATGGTGTTTGTTGTGTTGTGTACTGCAACCAGATAGCTAACAAGCCAACAAACATATGAGAAGAGAGCTGCAAGTAAGCCAAACAAGCACACTTTAAATGACTAACACCGACTACCATTCATGCACAGTCACACAACCTGGGAGGCAATTACTGAGCATGAATATTTATCATAGAGACACAAACTGAGAGCAGTCAAATCTCCTCCAACAAATTCAAAGACAGTCAAAGAAGGTATATCAGTGTAAGAGAGTGCGCTAAATACTGATATTGTACATCCCTTATATCAACTGTGACAAACCAAAGGCATAGTGATGATAGTTTAGTTAATAAGACTCTTTAAAAATGTGTCAAGCCCATTGATTTCACATTGTAAATGGTAGAAAACAAGGAGATTCCCAAGGCATTCAAACCAACTGCTCCGTTATGGAAACTATTGTTCCTGATTATGCAACAAACAAACATACATATCTTTATCCAGGAAACATAGACGTCTTCATAGTCTTACCACAATGTCCTATTTCAGATCACAAAGAAATCTCAATGTATTTACAGAGCTTAGAGACTCAAAGCCACACAACTGGTGACAACTTGTTATCCATACCAAGTGCTAAAAATGACAGAAAAGTCCAGACTGAAATTCAACAAGGCTAATATCCAAAGCATGCCAGTTACATGCCAGTGCAAACACAATTTGCATGTTTTATTGATTTTGGGAAAGCTTTCATTGGATTTAGCACTGTTGTCTTTTCCATGAGCTCCTTTAAAGTCGTACTGGAGGAAAAGTTTGTGAGTTAATAAAATGTGAATACTTGGAAAATAAATGTGATGTAAAAAAAGCAATCAAAAACTGCAATCTGTCACCAACTGTAACATATATATTACTGTTAGCTCCCAAGGACTCAGATGAAAAGTGATTTTTTGGGGGGTATCTTTATACTGCTGTAACTCTGAAAAGAAGGAATGCAGCAACTTTCAAATGTTCCCTATAATCTCTGTGAAAACTGGAGAATCAATGTAAATCCAGACAGACTAAAATCACAATGTTGTTAAATTTAACAACATTGCAAAGTAAAAAAAAAAAATCCTTTTTACTTTGGAGACATATTATTAAGTCGAACAATGGCATCAGTCAACCCACATATGGTAAATAAAGCTGAGCCAACTTCTTCACGTAATACAGACTCATTAAGATGAATGAAATTATTTCACCATCAAATGGAGTCAGAGCCAGATTCATACCAGCAAAGAGTTTATTTTATGTACTGAACAGAGAATTTCATTTTGCTGAATACATAACAGGAATAAATCAGACAATGAAAAGACATACTCTGGCTAAATACAGACTCACTGACATTAACTGGTACAATCTGATCACCATCAGAAGGTGCACAAGACAAGCTGAAATGTACACAGATTTAGATTCTTCTCTGGGAGGAAAGTACATCAGTATAATCAGCAGGAGGGAAAAATACTGTAAAATCATTACAGCCAAAGAAGTTTCTCTGTCAGTATGTTATTTAATGTGAAATGCTCTTAGTACTTTTAGTACTTTCATCACAGTGTAAGGCGTGCTTGCATAGATACACATCTCTACCAAAGTCATAAGCACTGTGACTGCTCAATCTGCACCAGTTTTACAGTCTCCACTCATTTTGACATGAAGTATCTACAAACTGACACTTTACAGGTGGCAGCAATAATATCCTATCAATCACAGATTTCTGTTCAAACAGTCTGCAATTTTATTTGCTACCTTAATCACTAGTTTGGACTGATATACTCTATTTTCTGGACAAACAAACAATATCAAAGAAAAGTAGTGATGTTTTTTGTCCTGTAAAGTTAATATGGTGGCTGAGAACCACCACTGCTGCAAATAAAAAAGAATGCAGAAAAAAAAAAGAAAAAAAAAAAGAAACAGAAGCCCGTTGCAAATAATTATGATAATTAAAAAAATGGTACAGATTAAAAAAAGCCACAACGGAAGTTAACGACACACAGACAAAAAAAAAGTGGTGATGCAAAAAAACTAAAAAAGTTACTTACTGCCAAAATAAAAGTATGCTTCGTGTGCTTTTCAATGTGTCATTTGGTTAGGCCATGTTTCTTTTTTTAATTTGCAGTAGGCTTCGGTTTCTTTTTTTGCATCAGTAACTTCTGTTGTGACGTCTTTTTTTTTTTTGCATTCTTTTTTTATTTGCAGCAGTGGCGGTTCTCGGCCACCGTAAGTTGATGCTGTCAGACCAAAAATAGGCTATTTCAGCAAAGTGCTTGTAGGTCTACTTTTTAACAGCCTACTTTATTAAAGTCAAAATCACATCTCTGCTTACGACTCAATTGTTTGACCCGAAGGTGTCGCCAGAGGATTTATCATGGAGGTCATACTTGTCGTATGCTTGTCGCCACCATTGTGCTTTTATTTCGAAAGACAGACCGGAAATGCCTGCAGCTGTGGGAATCATGTAGTGTGTGGAGTCAGTTCAGCTGAGAGTGAAGGTAAGCAGCTGACTGCTGAAGTGACAGAGTATTGATATTATAGTAAAAATGTAAGACTAACTGCTTGAAGTTAAATCTATGTGTGCACCGGGGGTGTCTACGTGAGCGCGTGGTGCGCTTCGCGTGCACAGTGATGCTGCACGTGCCTGTCGCATCAGTCCCACAGCTGGGAAACTGATGTTGTTAGTGTAGTTGGTAGTCTTGGATATATGTGTGTGTATGTGTGTTTCCTGTCAGTTTGGAGCTGCTTGTTGTGTAAACGTTATGACGGGAAAGTATTTTGGCTTTAAGTGCTGAAGTAAAGTTTTCTGATCACAGAAACATCCGGCTAGTCTTAAACCAACATTTTTCTTTTCTACGTTTTGCCATTTAATCTTAATTTCTTTCAGTTTTCATTTATAAAAGATAGCCGTCAAATTTTAATGATTTAAATAAAATTATAATTAAAACTCCAAATCAGTAGGCTACACATTATTGTTGTCTGAATTAGCAGAGATGGCCTTTTAACAAGTCAAAGCAAATAAAGTAGTTTTGTTTATCTTACGTTTACATCATCCAAACATTTATGTTCAGAGCTGAGTAGAAGTGGGTCTTTTGAGATTCTTTTTCATTCTGACTCAGAGTAGAGCTGTTAAAATTGAAGTTTGAGTCCTCAAAGTCATCTTCAGGGTTTTAATTTAGTCATTTAAAAGTAACAGAATTTTCAATGTCACTGAAAATTTGGAAGAACATAAAAAGACCTAAATTCACAAACAAATCCCCCAGCCCTGTTTCTACAAAGCTCCCCCTCCAGCTCTCATCTCTCACTCACTCCCTCTCTCTCTCTCTCTGAATTCTTAATGAGAGTGTGTATTGTTGCATTGTTGTGTAAAATTAGCAAATGAATAAACGCAACATACTGACACTCAGTTCCCAGGAATCCTTTCACACAGTGTGTGTGTGTGTGTGTGTGTGTGTGTGTGTGTGTGTGTGTGTGTGTGTAAATTGCACAATAACCCCCCCAGCCTTGTTTGGTAGATATTTTGTTGTGAAAATTCTTGTGTGGGAAAGTCTGCTGACAAACAATCACAGTTTTAGCTTCCACTGTGTCACAGCAAGGTGCTGACACAATTTACAACTTTTATCAGGGTTCACACTTTGAATAAACATGAAGTTAGTTATAGTGATTTGATTTGTGTTATTTATTCTTGACAACTATGACAAGAGTTAAACGACATAATGACAGACCAAATATAACATGTTTGTTCACCTCATTAGACTGTAGGGCAGACTCCTTTTGTCAGGCTCCACAGCCTGTCTTAAAGGGATATTCTGGCGTAAAATTAAGTTTGGGTCAAACACACCGTAACACTGAGATAGACACCCTGTCGAGAGATGAATGTTGCCAACCACTTGCTTCTCTAGTTATACCAACTTTGGTAATGACTGCAGATAGCAATACAGAAAGCCAAGCGCTCAACCAAAAAGCCACTCTATAGCTACAAATAATGCTCAGAACAGCACCTAACTTCATTAACAGTACATATAGGGTCCTAGCCATAGTTCTAGCCACCAAACATCTTTTTAGCTTTGCCTAATTTCTTTAGCAAAGAGACCAAACACAACTCACCCACTCTCTTCTATCAGCTGCTTGTTTGTACGGAGACTTCCAGGTGAGACTGCAGCAGGGGGACGCAGCTCAAGGAAGAACATTTATGATAATTTCTTCATGGAAATGCAATCAGACCGAGACACTAAGACAGAATAACTACTGCGTCTGCAGTGCAAAATGATTAATATGATGATCATTACTTCAAGGAAATGATAAAGTAATGATCATAAATGTTCTTCCTTGAGCTGCGTCCCCTCACTGCAGTGGATGGACTCGCCTGGAGGTCTCCGTACAAACAAGCGGCTGTTGGAAGAGAGTGGGTGAGTTTGGTTTAGTCTCTTCGGTAAAGAAATTTGGCAAAGCTATAAAGATGTTTGGTGGCTAGTACTATGGCTGAGACCCTTTATGTACTGTTGATGAAGTTAGGTGCTGTTCTGAGCATTATTTGTGGCTATAGAGTGGCTTTTTGGCTGAGCACATGGCTCTCTGTATTGCTATCAGATGGTCGTTGCTAAAGTTGGTGTAACTAGAGAAGCACGTGGTTGGCAACACTTAGCTCTCGACAGAGTGTCTAACTTGGTGTTACGGTGTGTTTGACCGTGACTTAATTTCACGCCGTAATATCCCTTTAAGTCCTTGAGTTGATGCATGATTGACAGCTGTCAAACATGTAAAAAACTAAACTTACAAGAACAGTAGTTAAAAAAGGGTAGTTCATAAATGAGAAAATCAATTAAGGTCTGACAAAGATCAATGACGTCTTTAGAGGGAGTGAACTTTTATCCCAGTGAAACTAAGTCTTGAAGCAAAAATAATGGATTTGGCTTCTTTGAGTGTGAAGTCTGTCACCTCAGCTAATTCAGTCCCTGAGCTCAACCTCTCACCATATCTGTGATGTTGGCGTGCTTCATTATTTCTAACCATACTATAATGATTGCTAGCTGTTTGTTCTCCCAGCTCCACTCTTCCTATGAGGCACGGTCACCTCTGGCTGTAAAAAAGAAACAAAATAACTTTTGGCTTTAAAATGATGGCACACATACTGGTAGGAGACATCCACTGCCACTAAAAGGGCTGCCAGCTGAACAGAGAGAGGGAGGGAGCACTTCTCTGCAGTAGTTTTTTTTTTCCTCTCAAATCTCCCTCTGCTTTTTTGCTCATTCTCGCTGTCCGTCTGGTTTCCATCAGTTGTGGTCCTGAGCTCTAGCTCTATTGCCGTGGTGACAGAGAACAGTCCGGTCGCTATGGGAGACAGCCAGAAATAGGCTGTTATTAAACATTTGTTTGTCTGTGTGTTCTTGCTTCTCTTTCATATAATAATAGTGATACTGGCATTAAGCTATAGGGCTGCTATTAAACACCGAATGTGTGTGTGTGTGTGTGTGTGTGTGTGTGTGTGTGTGTGTGTGTGTGTGTGTGTGTGTGTGTGTGTTTGTGTGTTTGTATGTGTGCACAAAAGTCTAATAACATTCCTAGTACCTGAGTTTTACTAGTACTTGGTCCATGTTAACCTTTTTTCATAGCACTGTGAGCATAACAGCATCATGGTACCATAATTCGCCTCCTCACAGCTATAATGTGATCATTAAACCTGTTTGGTTAGTTTGAGAGCATATCATTGTTCCCGAAAAGCTCCTAGATGAGGGTTTTCTGGCACAAAAAGGAAGTAAATGAGGAAAGCTCTTTTTCTTGCATTTGTTTATTTATAAAGATAGTTTTCAGGCCAGTTTCTTAGACTGGTCCTGATTTTGATCTTTTGGATAAAGATGTCTGGCTTGACGGCCACAAACCAGCTGAACACAGAATGTTGGCATCTTGCCATCACTGTCAGCTCAAGTTTTTACATTTTTCTCCTTCTCCCCCCTCCTCAGTGTTTTCTCATTCTTTATCTGAAAAAAGAAACAATAAGTACAGAAACATCAATTAACAGTTAAGCGAAAAAAGATCATTCAAGCAAACAAGAATATACTGCAAAAAAAACCACTTTTTTAAAAGTTAAATGCAATGTTAATGGTGCACATGCAAAGAGCTCTATTTTGTGAAAACATCTTTTATGGAGAATAACATGCAGCAGCCCCTGGTGATGAAAAATGAAGCCAGTGTGGAAGCGGAAAAAAAAACTCCTGCAGTTCCTTGAGTGTCCTCCATAAGCCAAGGAGACTCCACTGAGCAGTAAGCACCTCATGAAAATATCTATCTTCACAACACAAATAAAAATGTTTACAGCCTGAAACAACAGGAACAATAACTCTGGTGGCAATGTTACAACTACCATGTTTAAGGTTTCTTGAGTTACCCATCGGTGACATCACTAAGACAATGTCCAAAAAACATCAAGTCTGCGCCATTGCAACCAATTTCCCTCATAACCATGAACCAGTAAACAATTCACAACTAAATGCATCCTTACTTTTGAGAATGTAAAGCTGAGGAATCTGATGAGCCGGTTGCATTTCTTTATTTTCATCACAGCACAGACTTCGTTGTTTTTTTTTACATTAAGAGTCAGGCTGACTCTAGTCCATAGAGGTCTTGGTCCCTGACTTATAGGTGGTATAAACTGGTATAGGTGACTGTGATTTTGGAAAGATTATGTATAGATGCAGCCAAAATGAATCTTCGCCATGTGTATAGTCCACCAGCTGAAGAGGCCTTCTGAGGAGCAAGTCTTCTGAGAGAGACAGCAGTTACTTTTGCTCCCTCCAGAGCTACAGAGAGACTCGACCTAATTGACATAGAGGGATGGCTGGATTCTGTTCCTCATTAACCATTTAAAGAATCTCCTCCTCTCTTTCTTCCTTCTCACACACCCTCCTGAGGTCTCTTTTTTTGTAATCAAATAGAATCTTCTCAAGATTAATTTTCCTCCTCAGCCGACATTTGAGGAAGAAATTGAAGGACACCTTAAAAGGCAGCAGAGACACTTGAGGATCCTGTTTCTAAAGAAGCTTGTTTGACCTCTGCTGCCTCTGTTTCCTTCTGGGGGATGAGTCATATTCTTCATCATTTGAAGATCTTAGAAGAAAAACTCCACCTTAAGGACCATCATAGATTTGTCTGTGTGATCCTCACTCTCTGTCACCTCTGGATCAACCTCTAGCTCCAGCTGAGAAGCATTGAAATTCTCAGTAGCCCTGATACCTTCCCCAGACATACTTGAGATGTCTGATGTAGTGATTTGAAATGAGCCTCATACGGTCGCACCAAAATATATGTAGCGATTTGAAATGAGCCTCACAAGGCCGCACCAAAATAATACTTGGCGATTGGAATTTATAATAAATGTCTGAAGATTAATAATCTCAAATTATGACATTTATGCACTCGTTGAAAGGGGCACCACCCACCCTTAATGGTGGGAAAATAAAGAAAACAAAAGTTTAATTCAGAAATCAAACATCAAGTCAGTTTTAATTAATCAGTCTTAATTAATCGGTCTTAATTAATCAGTCTCATATCTTAAGTCGAAATTCTAATTTCAGGGACTCCACTTCTGGAAGAACACTAACAGACAGGAACTTAGAAAAATAATGATCTGTTTATTACAGGATAAATGATGGTACAACACACATGCAATAAATGATGATAAGATAATGAAGATAAATAATAATAGGTGAATAAATCAAGATTCTGAGTCAGGCTAGGAGCACTAAAGTTAATGATAGTGAGTGAATATGCGCTAACATATTAACCTACACTAACTTTGGTGTCGAGATAAACCCGGGTGTAGATTTGGAGGAATCTAAGATCACCAGAAATAGGTGGATATCTGAGTTATGAACGCGTGAGACAGCATCAGCCCTGTCTGGAGCTCTGGAGGTTTGCATACTTAAGTGAGACTGGTCCTTGGAGAAGATGGAGCAGGTTCCGAAGGTCCGGGGCTACTGGCGGTTCGAGCGGTTCAGCTCAGAAGACGACTGAAGTCAGCCGAAGGATGAGCCAGGAGTTGCAGCACTCGGGCCCGAAGCAAAGCCAGCGCCTGTGGATCCTGTGGATGCTCGTTTGGGTACTTCTTTGGTCTCACTCAAAAACTCTGGCACAGAGGATGACCTGGGCCTGCTGGGTTGCGTTCAGAGGTGACTTTGAAATCACGCAGAAAACTCAGAAAAACGAGGCTCGAAGAGCAGAGAAAACTTTCAAAAATGGCTTCGCGAAATTAAAGAAAAATCAATCAAAGGCTTAATCTTGAATTGCTATGCGCACAAAAAGTTGAAGTTTCAAAACTTGAACTAAGACGATGTTAAAGAAAAATCAACGTGAATCAACACGTGGCGTAAAACTTAGAAGACTAAGAAAAAGTTCTAAGAGAAAATAAAGAAACGCACCACAGAAGGGTGTGGGCAGAAGAGAAGGGGCATAAGAGCCGGGGACAAGAGAGTCAGCAGAAGAGCAGAAGCATAAGAGAAAACAAGAGATAAGAGAGTGAGCAACCCCACTTCACTGGTTTTATCTTCTCACACTGGGAGTGGCTGAGGAGAAAGAGGAGGGGGTCATCGGGTCTCTGATTATTTGATCTAACTTATTCTTTTGGCTGGTAAAAGAGTCAGATCTGATACTCACTCACTATGATTAACATCATTGAATGCTTGGTTTCATGATAAATAATTTGATACTAAACACATATGAATGAAGTGTAGGATCACATCAAACTTCTCATTATGTTTTAAGTATCACATTGAACATGCTAAATTACTCTGAAATGAAACAGATAGTAACACATGTAAACTGTGAACAACAAAAGAGTAAATACATGTGAATGAACGTCATCATGATTAATAATGGATTCTAAATACTCACATTCAGATTATTCAATGACATTATAACCACCTAATGGTTAAAAACACTAAATAAACAACTAAAATATAAACCAAACATTTCTAAACTATTTCTGTTACCTAGAGTTAAGTTATGATCCATAGTCAATAAATTTAACTCTTAAAAGTTCATGAAACAGTCTGAAAAGCTGTTGGTCTAAAGAAACTAAAGAGCGATAACTCGGCTTCTGGAGCACATAGAAAAACGGGAAACATCTCATTTTAACACAAATTTCATGATTAGACAGATTAGTACATTGCTGAATGCATAAGATGTCAGGATCAGTCATTTGTATTCTTTCACCAAAGGAATGTAGTCTTTATCAGTGCATGGTCGAGCAGGGTTTTACGACCGAGGTCTGGAGGTCAGTGTCCCCCCTTATCCTAGGGACCGTATGTCCACACACTTTAAGACGCTAAATCTCAAATGGGAGATCTGGGTTAAGACGTTAATGTTTATTTAGATGGTCAGCAAATGGAGTCAGTTTGAAAGGTAATAAAAACTCTGTCTCTGTTCTCCGAATTGACCAATCGTGAAGAGTCGGAGGTTTAGTCAACCTCCGGTTGGGTCACTTATTTAACCTGAAAGTGTAAACGAGTCTGGAAAGATTTATATCCTGTTTCCTGGGACCAGATAAGGAAGCTTTCCTGTGAGGAATGTGTGGGTTTCACACCCAGGGTTGTCTTGATTGCTACACTGAGTTTGCAGAGAGAATCCAAAGACAAAGAGTGAAGGTCCACCTGGTCTTGTGATGAAGAACTGTGACAGCAGAGGACATCTTTGATCTCAAAAAGATTGTCACAGTTCATCCAGTCATCTTCCTCTTTGTCTGTGTGACTGAAATCCGACATCTGGTGGAGAAACATTAGGGAACTGTAGTCTGTATCTGAGCTACTCATTTTTACATGTTCAAACAAACATTTTCTTTTTTTTGCTAGTGCGTTAAAGTTTCATTATTGTGCCAGGTTAAATTCCTTCCCAGGTCACCTGCATTGAGAACTATGGTCTCATTACATGAGGCTGCAGCAGATAATTACTGGGCCAAACCTGCACCCCTTCATTGTCATTTTGAGTTGATGAAAGTGATCAAGCACTGTATTCTGTTGTTGTTCTTTACTTTGCTCTACATGTGTACATAATAGAAACACCCCAGCCCAGTAACAGCCACATTTCCATATTCAGTAAGATTAGCTCCATCTAAACCTGAGACTGATGAAGTGATGTAATGTGTACTCACTGAGCAGGTGCATGGAGAAAATTGTCCTCAAGATGTGTTTTGAAGTTGTAATCCTGCTAATTATCTCCAGTTTTTCTCAACCTCAATTATAAACAGAGCCTGTTGTTTTGTTATGCTGATTACATAACACCGTTTCATGTCTTCTGTGCCTGCTCCTCAGAGGATGAACACCCTCAGGGTAAACCTTTCAATTTTAGCTCCTCTGCTGGTTCAGACTCAGAGAATAAAGGACAAAATCCTCAGGCTGTAGATTGTTTCTATTCTGGCTGTAATGAACTCTGCCGCCTGTAGGGGACGCCGACTGTTTGTTCCTCTTCCTGCAGGCATTTCATCTTCAGAACTCAGTTAACAAGACTGTAACCCTTATCTGCTGTCTGCATTTGCATATTTCAGTAATTGGTAACATTTTTGTGTGTGTGTGTGTGTGTGTGTGTGTGTGTCAGTGTCAGTGTTTACAGCCCCAGTAGGATATCAACAATAATAGTTTAATTCACATTCAGGAGCCTGCAGGAAACTCTCAGCCTCATTAGACATGTAAAACTCCTCAAAAGAGGAATAAAGTTTTATCATTATCTGGTGATACAGGAATACATCCCAGGTCAGAGGTCAAAGGTTAGGTCAAGTTACTTTGATGCAAGCTTGCGCAGACATTAAACCAGATCAAGGTCAAAGGGTGACCACACTGAAAAAGAAATGAGAAAAAGAGCCTGATTCTTACTGAAATCATTCCCTAAGCAGTTTTCAGAACAGGCAACATTATCTGATAAAGTTATGACTGTACTTTGTGAGGCAGTGAAAACCAGTACACCTAAGGGACCATTGCTGATTGCATATGATAATTTGTTATACTTGCGAAGGACGTATGCATTTGTAATCCCATGCAAATTGGCCATGTCTGTAATGTAAAATATTAATAAGCAACAATAAAAATTAAAATAATCCTTTCCGCCAGTCTTGGGGTAGCCTACATGGTGGACTTTAACATATGCAGTAAAAAAACAAGTACACCATTCAGTAAAAGGTTTGTACTGTAACTATAGTAAAAGGTCTGTCTCTCCATCCCAGTGCAGCAGTATTTGCTAGTTGGCTAAAATGTGTTTTTTTTAATTTATTTAAATGTAATTTGTTTGATCACTGTGTGAGTTTTTGGTCTTTTGTTGTATGGTAACTGGTTGATTTGGCCAGCAGAAAAAATGCTTACCTATATGCAGAAATATCAAACTAAAACCAATCCATAGATCTTGAAGAGGAAGAAGAAGGTTATTTATCTCAGAAGGGAAATTCAATAGATCTTGATGTTGAAGACTGAAAAGATGGAAGACATGATTCTTAGCATAGTGTTAGAGATATTTTCTGTCTGCAAAACACAAGGTGAACGATGATGCCTTTTTGTATTGAATTAATGAGAGCTTTATTTATTGTTGCTAAGCAACCAAATCACTTGTGCAGTGATGACTACTGAAGTAAGGAGGAAACAGTCTGGAGTTGGGTCCAATACAAACAGAATAATTGTGTTGTAGCTCTTAAAATTCTTGACAACAAGTTACTATCCATATGGCGTCAAATTTTTAATGCACTAGTTTTATGGCAGTTTACAGGATGTGGTTGTCTAATTTGTTTAATCAATTTCCAGCAAACTTTAGCTGTAGGCTGCTGTAAAGAGTTATGCTGCCCGGATTTTAACTAGTCTTATTCACACACTGCTGGCTCAACCACAGCGTGTGCCGGTTTTGGGGTAAATGTTTTGCACAAGGACTCTTTAGCATGACAGCAGGATGTGTGATCTAACCCCCCCCCCCCCCCCCCCAACTTTCTGGTTGAAAGATAGTTGACTTTGCCACAGCAGCCACAGCAGCCATCCAAGAAGGGTCCCGAGGCCTGCACTGCAGGCAACAGAGAGAAAATAGAGAGATGTAACAGACAGTGCCATGACAGTGTACGAGCTTATGTCTCTTTGGGGAGTAATAAAATATAGAACATTGTTTTTATTGTTAATTTACAGTTGTTTAACAGCAATTGCAAAAAAAAAAAAAAAAACATTAAAAAATACTTTCAGCATCATAAGTATCTTGATTTGTACACAGTAACATCCTTGCTTTCTAATAATACATTATTTTAAATATCTGTATTGATAAGTACCTCTGACCTTCATTGTGATAAAGCTGGAGTTTTTCAGTCTGCTACATCTTTGTTTCAGCAGGAAGTACTGCAGGAATCTCTGACACTTCCTGCTGTGATTTGCAGGGAAAAGATGAAATAGGACATATACATCACTGTTCCTTATATAGAACCTGCTGCTGTTACAATCAGACAGTGTGCATGTGAGAGACAGATGATCAGTGGCACACACATACGCACAGTTAATGAGGTGGGAGCCTCCTGTGGTGAAGAGTCTGATGTGTTTTAATGGGACTCTAAGAGGAGTGTCGGCTACTCCTGATGTCTCAGTTGATAATCTCAACAGTCTGTCTCAAATACATGCTCCAATACTTCATATTGAATCATATACAATTATAGACTATACCCTATAGGTTATTTGCACATACAGGTGAACCCTGACTAAACCTTTCTCCATCAAAAACCCCAAAATGTTCTGCTTGCAACAACACAGTCTGAATCCGTTTGTGTAATAAGCCTCTCTCTGCAATTCAACAACAGATCAACTCCAGATCAAAATCAGTCATGGTAATCAGACATTAATGACATTAAAGCTCCTGTGAGGAACTTTCAGTTTGTGCCCGTTATGGCGCCCCCTGTGGACAAAGCAGTCTTCTTTTATCTTTAGATTAGATTATCCTCAAGTTACAAAAGCTGGAAATGAAAAACATTTTGTTAACTGAAATGAATGAGGAATACATTTTAATTCTCTAACAACTGAAATTTTTTTTAAGTATGACCTGTGTAGTCCAGCAATATCAAAACTGAGATGAGGAAATCTAATTTTTTACCATAAAGCTCTACACACACATGAATAAGTGACATTTTTGAATTAAGTCCTTCAGTTCTCTTACTGTATTATGCATTGGGTGCTTATTTTACCTCTATATGACCCTTGACCTTATCTTACTTTAACATTCAGTAATTGCTAACACTAGCATTTTAGTCATGCAGCCTGTTTGTTATAGTGTCTTTGTCTTTTGTACAATATTGGAGGGGGGAAAAGTGCAAGAATATTGACACTTATTAATCAATGGTTATTGTTATTAAACCAGTATGTCATCAATTTTTCAGTATTTTAAACGAAGTCATAATCTATAGTAATGCTGTCTCTTTACTGTGGGAAATATCACCTGTTGTCTCTGCCCTGCAGCAGTGTGTGACACTGTCCCTTTAAGATATCCAGGAAGTGTAGGGGGAGTGAGGGGGCGTTGTTTAGGGGGTGTGTCTTCCTGGTTCAGGGGTGGTGCTTTGTGAGGAAACAGGTGTGTGTGCTGACAGGGATGATGTCATTCTTTAGCTGAGTCACCTGGGAGACGGCTGCTGAGCGGACCGTGGACAGAGGGAGAGATAAGAGAAGGAGGAGGAGGAGGAGAAGAAGGCAACGAGCTGCCATCATCACTCCTGTTCCTTTTTTCCTGAGGAGGCATCCGTGTGAGTAAGGAGTCCCAGCAGAGGAACAGGAGGAGGAAGAGGAGGAGGAGGAGGAGGAGAAGGAAGAGGAGGAGGCAATTTGAATACTGCTGATCATCAAGGTGAGGGAGAGAGTGAAGGAATGAATGAGAGAGTGAGAGATAGAGGGAGATGTGTAGTCAAATAGAAGCTCATGCTTATCTTTTCTCCTCTCTGTGAAGGAACCTACTTACCAAACTCCATTTAAAAATTAGCTCATTTTAGTGACTCTTTACCCCCAGAACTTGGATTAAACCCTGAAGTGTCTAATGGACTGTGGGTTTTTCCTGAATGGTTGCATTTTTGTTCACACTTAAGACACAAAATACACAGACATCCCTGCCAACATAGTCCTTTACATTCAAGGATTTGTCTTTTGTGTATTTGAACTAAATATTTAAACCTTGGAGCAGAACCAAGACTAGCTGCATTATTTCACTGGGAAGAAGACACACAGGAAGTTTTACCCCAGACTGAGTCTAACAGGATCAAATCCTAAGTGGACTGATCTTGATGTTTACAAAAACATGAGGCATGTTGGCAGGTCTGGATGTGGTGGAGGAGGAGCAGACAGTTAAACTGAAAGCTGTAATTTCTCCAGCTGTACTTTGGTTCAGTGGTTGGTTTGGCTTTGGTTCTACGTCACTCCCTGTTTCTGGTTGCCCTACTTGCTTTGGTTTTGTTGATTAACATCTTTCTTGTTTGTTTAGGGTTACATGTCCTTGCTCTTTTCTTACCCAGAAGTCTTTTCCTGAGCCTTGACCTCTGACCCTTACACCAGTTTATTTGTTGAGTGGCACCAGGAAAAAACCAAACTGCATCAACTGGGTTTACACAACTTATTTAAGACTAGTTAACAATACAATTACTAGTTAGTAATCTTTACCAACTCCTGAGTTTCTACGTTATGAAAGTTACTTGGGAAAGTAACTTTGGTGTTACCTCTTCCTATTTCAGTTCTCCTGTTAATGTGACATACCTCTCGTCTCGCTGATATTTTCCTTATCAGTTCTCTGAAAGCAGAGAACTAAACATTTTGATATGGGAAACCTGTCTCCAGTAACATTCTTCACTGTTAATTCCCTTCTGGCTTACATGTTGTGGTGCTGTTGGGATGGAGTTGCTCCTACTTGATCTGCAAAAATAACACAAGTTGCACTGTGATATCTGTCTGCTAGACTTTTATTGGCTGTGGAAAAAGTCACCACTGTATTTTTACTTATCTCAGGGAAGAAAAACTGCTGGTATGTCCAAGACAAAGAAGCTTATGCCTGATCATTACACAAGCTTGATGGGGTCTCTATTCTAGGCATAGGCGTAACCTCATTTTGTAAAGTCAAGTAACAATAGTAACAAGGCCTATTGAGTTCCTGTAATTGTAACAACGTCATTGAATTTAAAAAGTAATTAGTTGCTGCAAATGGTAGTGTAGTTCCAGATATGTGGTTCTTACAACACTGGATTTACTTGTCAGTTCATGTTAGCAAATAAGCTAGTCAGCAGACTATATTAACAGTATTCACAAAGAAACATCCTGCGGCTAAAATTTTTACAAGAGTCAAGCAAAAAGTACAAAAAGTACAATCGGTACAGGTTTTTTTTGGCTTTATGAGGTTAGATTATCACAGTTACACAGTAAAAGTAGTACTTTTCGGTAACGAAGAGGAACATGAAATGTATTTCATCTCAGTTGTGTAAAAGGGATTCTTATTCAAAGGATTCTTATAAAAAAGGCCTTTGTTGCCTTTTACTGAGAAATTGATCACTTAATTGAGAAGACTTGATGTGGGAATAGTAACGTAAGCTGTTTCTTTGTCTTACCACACAGCAGTTACAGGCATTAAAATGACACTGTAGAAACTGTCAACCTAGTCATCAATGGCCTCATTTGCTCTTGTTTTTCATTCCAGTCAATTTCATAACCTATAAAAAACTCCTCCCATTGGCTTTAAAGAGGGCTTTTTATCATTTGTGGTCAGTTTTAAAGTTTTAAACCCATCTTTTCTGGTGAACTCAGAGCTTCTAAACTTAGCAGGCAGAATAGTTTTTATCTTTAAAGATAACACAGCAGTGGTGAATAACTTGAAGATGTCACACAGTGAAGTGAGTCTGTTAGCAAGTTCAAAGAGGCATGAAATATGTCACACAGCAGAGTGCAAACAGGTAACCAACAGCCTGTAGACAGACTTACACACACAGCCTGGGGCAACTGTGCGTGTGTGTGTATGTGTTTGTGTGTCGCCATCATATGACTGGGAGAGTAAACAGTATGAAATACGGGAGAGCGGTAAAGGTGATGTCATGCAGGAAGTACACATACTGAAATTAAAGTGCACACAGACACACACATACACACACACACACACACACACACACACACACACACACACACACACACACACACACACACACACACACACACAGAGTAGTAAGTGTAAGTTAATATGAAATGGTAGTTTGTTTAGTGCTCAGCTGCTTCAACCACAAGTGTGTGTCTGTGAATGAAGCTTTCTTGATTGATTTGTGTTTCTGTGGAAGAAGTACGAGTTTTCACTGGTAAAGCTGGGACATCAAGGTATTTTAAGGAAATTGTTGCAATCATTAGTGGACACATCAAGTTTTCTATACGCAACAATGTCTGTCTTAAAGTGGACCGAACACTGACTTTAGAGGATTTCAAAACCTTGTAACTTCATAAAGTGCCTTTGTGTCATGTTGATTTTATGTTATCATGTTAGACTATAAAATATGGGCATAGTTTTGACTGGTTTCTGAAGCAGTTTTGGAGCCCTTGAATGATGGACCTTGGTTCAACCTAATTTTTCGTCAATCAAGTAGAGGGCAAAGATCTCACAGTTGACCTGACTGTCCGTTAAGTCAACTGTGCCCTTAATAATGCAAATCTCCTGACACTGACATTTTTATAACTTTGTACTTTTAAGAAATTCACTCTCTTTCTACAGTGTGGGCATGAGTTTAAACACAACCAAAATTCAGACCACACCTACAGTATGTCTCCTAAAATACTTCCACGCTGTGCTTTATGATATTGTGGTTTTGTGATCGTGCAGCTTTGTTTGACTATGTCTTTCATTTTTGCACAATAACATGTCAGTATGAGTTTACTTGTGCATCAAGAGTGCATTGATTGGTCAAATTACGATAATCTGCTGGATCGCAAGCTATGTCAGGCTGTCTGGTGTATTATTATGAGCTTGAACTCTTCATTACAGTTTGAAAATGAACTTTTCATTCTTTTGATTTTTCATATTTTTTACATGTCCCAGTCAGATACATCCTGATGATGATGGTGGTTAGATGGCAGGGGGAAGTGACATATTGAAATTTCAGAATAAAAGCCAAAAGGATCAGAGTACAGAGTAATGTTTGAGGATAAATAAATGATTATAGAAACAAGCTATATAAAAGTCTGAGGAATGATAGAATAAATATGAAAAAAAAATTGGGCTTGCCTTTCCTGGTTTGCATCAGGAAACAGTAAAACAAATTGGCTTTGTTTATTTTCGGTTCAAGGTGGCAAAAGGAGGTGACTTCATTTTTGTAGAACAAAACCCAAGTGACCCGTTAAATATTTAACTTTAAATGGTAAAAGGAGACAATGAATTACCAAAGAGAAAAACTGGGCCATCGTGATTCAGACAGAAAAATTGTCACATTGTTTTTGGTTCTGGAAAATAACAGTAATTCAGTTTCTGGATCACCAATGAATAGTGAATCATCCAGTGCTGCCCTGACTAACTTCAACATCTGATCTTTACATTTTTTTTTTGTAAGTGATTAATGTAAAGTTCAATGTATTCAATGACAGAGCTAATATTTAGACCATTAGGAGTTGGACATGACTTCAAGATCCCTCCAGTGACTTCCAGTGGTTTATTTTTACAACACAATCTCTGTAATCATCAACGTGGGGATCAAATTTACCAACGAAAACTACCAGTAGAAGTCAGGAAGTTATGGAAGCACAGATAAAATCTGACTCGCTGGACTAGAGAGACAGTAGACACAGTTTTCCCAACAAACTTTTCCTGAAGTAGTAGCTTGAAGATAGTAAAAGGGTTGGTTATTGGGACAGAAGTGTACAGTCTTCTTTTTCAGTCGTTTGTGTGCAGATATGTTGCAAACACTTGGTTTTACACTTATATTATCTATGTAATTATCAAAGTGATTAGTCCAGAGTCTGTTAGCATGAGTTTACGCGCGTGCACACACACACACACACACACACACACGCACACACAGTATTAAGTAATGAGCAGGAAGCTGCAGACTCTTTGTATTCTAATGACGGCGGCTTTTTGTCTGTGAGCTGAATGAGAGTGTAGTCTTCGCTCTCACTTCACTGAGCTCTTTGTTCTTCATCACAAACTCTAAATCACTTCCATCAGGAGTGAGAGGGACAGTGACCATCAAACACATGATGAGGACGTGGAAATGACTCACTGTTGTGTTTGAAAACACGATCTGACAGCACAAACTGTTCTTCACAGTCCGTTATACAACCACAGCTTCTCATTAGAGAGACACTATCACAGTTATTGGGGTGTAGCAATAAACTGCAATTAAACAAAACTAATCTGCTTCAGTGCAGATTAAAAGGGGATATTTATAGTACATGCACTAATCAAAAATATGCCTTCATTTTCATATATGTCATTGAAGCCAATCATTTGTCAGCAAAACCATGCCAACATTGGCCTGAATTTGAGCTTTTCTTTTGCCGTAGCGTGTGTTTGAAAACTCTTATAACTGCTGTCGAAGTGCACTGACCTTTGACCTCTTGCTTCTAATAGAGGGGCTCACTCAGCTTGGTCTGATCCTGGAAACATTCAGTTTTAAACACTCCAACATTGAAATAGAAAGACTGAAAGTGTCTAAATCTGGAGTTCAACAGTCCCAATTATGACAATCTTCTGAAAAGAAAGAAAACATACTCTGAAAGCAGACAT